TCGAGGTGTCCATCTGATACCTCTTTGTCGACTCTGTTCGAGGACTGTTTATAAAATAATAACACCTGCACTTATAACTCAGGCCGTTATTTACCATTTTTGACGTCTAAGAATTTAACGATCATTTTCACCTTTCACCTATCAGAAATTCCTCTATTTTTTTGTTCGAAAAGGTTTATTTCGGCCAACATTTTATAGACACACGAGTCAAAGATCTACCTGTTTATGAGCGCTCGGGTTAGAGTTTGTCTTCCGCTAAGACATTAACAGATAGTTGACACATACTCGAACCGTTCCGAGTCTCGTTGTTTACATCTCGTGTCGCGCAAGAATTTCACGGTTTACTCGAGTTCGAACCTCGTCTGGGAACTCACAAAAGGGACTCCCAGCTTGTCTGCAAACAGCCCATAGGGTGCTTTTTAATAAAGACTTTTGCCCATCTATGGCTGTGATGATCAGCAGTCCACATATCCCAGTTGTGTTTCACAACAAGATAAGCAATAAATTTGTAACCTGTTTTGAGGCAGGCAACGGCAAAAGGAACTATCTGTTCTTAAGTGTATATTGCCCAATAACCATGGATCTTGGTCCAATCCTAAACGAAATGGAAAATATCATTGACCACTTCAGAGGTAAGAACATTATCATCTGCAGTGATTTGAAAGCTCATTCCGAACTCTGGGGAGACCCAGAAAATGACCGAACAAATTCTTGAATTTACAAGCACAAATAACCTCCATATACTGAACCAGCCTGACTCTCTGCCGACGTTCGACACACCAATCGGCAGAAGCTGAATCGATCTTACAATTTGTAGCAGTAATGCATTGAAATTTATAAAGACCTGGCAGGTCTCTTCGTTGTGTAGCTTGAGTGACCATAGTTACATCATCTTTGATGTGAGAGTTACAGATAATATGAATAAGGTGGAAAATGAATTCTATGCCACAAATAGAGCTGATTGGAAACTATTTCAGACAAAACTTAGATATGATGGATGCAGAGGTGCTTGAGAGCTGCAAGAGTAGACTGGAGGTGGAGGAATTAGTTAACCACTTTCAGGAAACCCTAATATCAATTTGTAATGAATGCATCCCTAAAAAGAAAAAGGGACAGAAGACAGTTCCATGATGGAACAGTGAACTGACCAGGATGAGAAAGAGAAACAACAGCTTAAGAAGGAAATACCAAAGAGCTTGAAATGAAAGTGAGAGAATAGAAAAGAGAAAAGAATACCTGAATAATAGTAGAGTACAAGGCAATGAAGCTTGAATCTTGGAAAGAGTTCTGCTCTGCGAGTACAGCAAAACAGTGGGGCTTTCAGCACAGGGCTACAAGGCCTGTGCTGGCAAATTGAAAACACCTACTTTTCTAACATCTATATGCAATGAAGACACATACACCGAATGTGTAGAGAATACGGTTAGGAGCTTAATGAATACATTCTTTCCACAAGACAATATAAAGGATGTTACACCATACCAGAAACAAATACAAGAGAGAGGGGATATTGATTATAAGCACAGAGAGGATCCCGAGTTTACAATAGTAGTAGTAGAGAATGCAATAAACAGATTAAAACCTGGAAAGGCCCCAGGGCCAGACGGCATAGTGACAGAGATAGTATCAAAGATATGGGAGACTGGCCCATTGTACACAACAGCTTTGTACAATTTGTGCCTTCAAATGAGGTTCTTTCCGACAATCAAGTGAAACTTGTCATTATTCCAAAGGGAAACGACTTAAATAAAAGCACGGCAAAAAGTTATAGACTGATTAACCTTTTACTGATGATGGGAAAGATTTTTTACTTTCTAATAAGCCAAAGAATTATGTTTCAGATCACTAACAAAAAGTTCTTGAGTGATAAGCAATACAGGTTCCTTCCCGATAAAAGTACTGATGATATAATAAACAAAGTGATGACTAACATGCCAAATTAATATATAACAACAAAAATAAATACACTGAGTTCAGCATTAAGAACATGTTCATGTTCTTAACGGCTTTAACATAATTTCAACTTATCTTATGCGTTCTATTCTGCATTCGATTATTTTTGTTTAAATTTTTTTTGGTAAATATCTGTATTCGCCTGAAGACGACAACAATAAGTTTGTTGAAAGTGCTAGCGATAAAAAAAACGCATGTAACGCTGAACTCAGTGTATTTATTTTTGTTATTATATATTAATTTGGCATGTTAGTCATCCTATTGATTACTAAGAGATGGAAACAAGAGATGGAAACTGCGAAAAACCTCTTTTATAAACAAAGTGGTAAATGAAATTGAACGGATTCTAACAGATAAAAAGTACTGTTGCGCCATAAGTTTGGATATAAGGGGGGCATTTGACCACACCTGGTGGCCCCTAATTCTTCAATCGTTGAGGGAAAAAGAATGCCCTGAAAACATTATGTCGTAAAAGATTACCTGCATGACCACAGCATCACTTATAATACCAATGGGGCAAAGGTAACTCTTATGTTAAATAGAGGATGCCCTCAAGGCTCTTACTCAGGGCCTCTTTTCTGAAACCTTGCCTACGATCGATTACTACGGATAAATAAACACCCAGAGGTAACAAAACTAGCATACGCAGACAATACTATCGTCATATTTGGAGCTAATTCCCAGAGGAAAATTGAAATAACAGGCAAACATGTTCTAGAAACAATACTGAGGAGAGGAACAAATCAAGCTCTCATTCAATCCAAAGAAAACAAGAGCAATTTTATTCTCTAAAGGTCAGACACCAGATTTATACAAAAGAATACCAACACTAAAAATGGGGAACGAGAATATAAGATGGAAAAATAACTAAAATATTTGGGCATTATATTAGATAATAGGTTAACATGGCTCCCTAATGCAATTACCATGAGGGATAGATGTACAAATTTGATTAACGCATTGGCAAGAGTGGCTAAAGCCACCTGGGGACTTGGCCACGAGGCTCTAGATGTTATATATAAAGAAGCCTTTATTCCACATATGACATACAGCGCAGTTGCCTGGCACAGGGCAGTAGACAAGGAAAGTATTAAAAAGAAACTAAACAGTGCACAGAGGTGTACCTTACTTCGGCTAACAAAAACATACTGTACTGCTTCAACCGAGGCTCTGCAGGTTGTTGCGGGAATCCCCCCAACTGATTTTATAGTAAAAGAAAAAGCTGCTTTATATAACTGCAGAAGAGGTAATCAAATAACAATAAATGGACTGGTTTTCTCAAGAGCTGACGTGGACTTGAAGCCAACAATGGCAATGCTACCAGGTCCATTCAACCGTAGAAATATAAACATAGCTAACAACAATGAAAAAGGTGAAGTAGAACTTTTCACAGATGGTTTTAAGATACAGGGAAGAGTTGGAGCTGCTTTCATCGCAATAAGAGGCAATCAGATACGTGAAGAGAAATTCAGGCTCTGAGACAGATGTTTGGTGTTTCAGGCTGAGTTAATGGCAATAGAGAAGGCAACCAGGTGGGTGGCCTCAACTTTTAATTCTGAAAAAATTATAAACAACACAGATAGTAGATCTGCACTAAACACTCTGCAGCAGTTTAATGACAGTAGCATCACAGCTGCTAATATCAAAATATTAATAAAAGTACACAAACTTGATATAAAATTCAGATGGGTAAGAAGGAGCCCATACTGGAATAGCTGGAAACGAAAAAGCGGACCAACCGGCCAAAGAAGCGGCCCACTCAGCAAACGTAAATACAAGCTTCCCATTTCCGGAATTAAAAATATAATCTGGAACTTTACCCTTTCGGAATGGCAAGAGAGATGGTCCAACTCAAGTAAAGGAAGACACACGTATTGGCTTCTAGAGCATAGAGGAACGCACAAAGGAATTCCGCTGGCTACCTATCAATCTATCAAGCCAACTCTCACAGGTCACAGACCTGTGAGAGTTGAATCATCTATCAAGCCAACTCTCACAGGTCACAGACCTGTGAGAGTTGAATCATCTATCAAGCCAACTCTCACAGGTCACAGACCTGTGAGAGTTGGCTTGATAGATGATTGATTAACACCTATCTACATTGAATTGACAAGAAAAGAAACGCGAGTTGTGAATCTGGTGAAGAAATTCAAGACATTAACCATTTACTATTTAAATGTATTAAATATGGAATGGAAAGAATAGAAATCTCAACGTTACACCAACAAAGGAACATTAATTCCAACCTGAACTTGTATCTCATAAGGGATAAGAATCTCGTTTAAGACTTATACTCCTTCACAGGAAGGATCCTGATGTAAAGACTAGGGATAATCCAACCCTAAAACCTATTATACTGGAAAGTCACCGGTACTTGTAAGGCAAGAAAGAGCGTGCCAATTTTTATTATATTGTTATTATAATTTAAGTTTATATGTTTGTAAAAGTTAAGTTTGTTTTTTTTTATGAATAAGGAAATTTTTAATAAAGAACAGTCCTCCTTGTAGAGCATCTGCAGGACAAGGATGACTCTGATTCCCAAGTAGAGGAAATGACAATCAAATGAAAAAAACTCATGAGAGCATATGGCCCCAAAATGCATTTCCTTTTTTTAAATTTTTTTTTTAATTTTAAAATTTTTAAAAATTTAAAAATTAAATTTAAAAAAAAAAATGGAAGTGATTGTATTTTCTATCAAGTGTTGCTAGTTCTCCACAGCAAATCGGCTTAATTCCAAATAGCAAGAAGCAATCAAGTATCAATAGTCTTAAAATTAGCTTTTTTAATTTATGCTTCTTACACAATATAGTGCTATAAATTAAGACACTTGGCGGATTTTCTCATCTTTATTTAGTTGAAACTAAATAAAGATGAGAAAATCCGCCAAGTGTCTTAATTTATAGCACTATATTGTGTAAGAAGCATAAACAAATAGCAAAGCACGGTTTCATATCATCAAAATAGCTTTTTTAATGTTTTAGCCTTAAAAAATAGACTAATAGCCAAAGCTGTGACTCCCAATATAAATTTTTTATTGAAGTACTTATTTTTTCATTGAGATACACGGATTATATACAAATTAATCTCTCCCTTTATTAAACACCTATTTACAACTATACAATTCACGTGGCCTAGTTATAACTACTAAAGCCTAACAGATTACAATTCCTTGTTAACCTAGTTTTTAAAATTTTTCAGAAAATATCTAGAACTTACTATCAGCAAGTTCCTACAATTGATAAAATGTACTTATCTTTATAGAAAATTCACGTCTTCACTAAATGTACGACGAAATTCAGTCAAAAACTTTTAAAAATAGCTAGGGGAAAAGTATTAAGTCAGTTCCGGTGGAAAATGTTACCCGTATTTAAAGTTCTTGCATCTTTTTTGCAAAAGTAGCACTTGTAATATGACTAGCAAACCCTTTATCAAAAGTTTTTGGCCCTGAAAAGGGCCGTTTAATCGTTTAACCTGTAATTTACTTTAAGCACGCTCTCCTCTGATTCTTCTTGCCAACTGGATGTCCTTTGGCATAATGGTTACTCTCTTGGCATGGATAGCGCACAAGTTTGTATCTTCAAAAAGACCTACCAAGTAAGCCTCGCTCGCTTCCTGCAAAGCCATGACAGCCGAACTCTGAAATCGAAGATCGGTCTTGAAATCCTGAGCAATTTCACGGACTAAACGTTGGAAAGGCAACTTTCTGATCAACAATTCGGTTGACTTCTGATAACGACGGATTTCTCTAAGAGCTACGGTACCGGGCCTGTAACGATGAGGCTTCTTAACACCACCGGTAGCCGGAGCACTCTTTCGGGCGGCCTTGGTAGCCAACTGCTTTCTTGGTGCCTTACCACCAGTAGACTTACGAGCGGTTTGCTTAGTACGTGCCATACTTAAAAATAGAATAAAGAATAAAGCGTCTCTCGATACAACCGTTGTCAATAGAACCTAAAATCCAGAATTCGCGCCAGTAACGTGCTATTTATACCGAAATTCTCGAATCTTATTGGAGGAATATGAACTCGACTGCTGATTGGCTAACTGAAGACTTTCTCAATCCTACCTTAACTCAATGCTTTAAAGATACAAGACACGAATGTTGGTGTTAGAATAATTAATAACTAAAACATTACGTCAAAATTTATGCTAAAAGAACAGAAGTTATTAAAATTAAGAGATGTAAACAATAACAACTTAAAATTTAAATATAATTAATAAAAACACGATAAATATAAGTGTGAGAAATTAACAAAGAAGGATTGTATGATTTATCTCGGGAACCTGATTGGTCCATCCGATTAATGAAGTAACAGTACTAAACAAATATCCATCTTAATTTAATTTACTAATTATGAAATTATATATTATTAAATAAATGATTCGATGTCTAAAACCTAAAATAATATTTTATCTAAGAAATAAATTTTATGTAACAATTCCGTTCAAGAATTCGTACTTATTTTGCATACTTATATTCGAAAAATGATAATTAAAAATTTTGAAAAACAAAGCATTTTTATTAATTATTATATTTTTAAAGTGGTAAATTGTATTTTATTTTGATTTTACATTTTAAAAAATAGTAAATAAAGACGAGTATCTAATAAATAGTTAATTACGCATAAAGTTATGTCAATTAAGCAGAGATATGTCAAGAGTTCAAATAATAAATTTTTAAATATATTGTTTTATTTTTTTAACAAAAAATATGTTTTCGCCACATTTTCTTGCCGGGTTAAACCGAAGCTCTGTGATTGGTTAACGACACAGCCAATGCCAGACAGCAGTTACATGTTTTCCATGAGGTCCGCTCTCTAACAATAAGTTGACTGTGCTCCATTATTACTAATCCATTTTCGATCTTGTTTGCTGCTGTGAAGTTTTGAATTTTGTAGAGAAATATGTCTGGACGCGGTAAAGGAGGTAAAGGTCTCGGAAAGGGAGGCGCTAAACGTCATCGTAAAGTTCTCCGCGATAACATCCAAGGTATCACCAAACCCGCCATTCGTCGTTTGGCTCGTCGTGGTGGTGTAAAACGTATCTCTGGTTTGATCTACGAAGAAACTAGAGGTGTATTGAAGGTGTTCTTGGAGAACGTCATCCGTGATGCCGTAACCTACACCGAACATGCTAAAAGGAAGACCGTTACTGCTATGGACGTTGTTTATGCTCTGAAACGTCAAGGAAGAACCCTCTACGGTTTTGGTGGTTAAAAAATGTCAACCGGATACAAAAGGCCCTTTTCAGGGCCAAGACCTTCTGATAAAGGGTTGTCGATCGTATTTTATACTTCTTAAGTTAAGTAGATATGACGAAGTCCTGATACTCAGGAAAACCTAAAAGGGTTAAATATTTACCTCATCAGGTAACTTTTAAATCAACATATTTTATATAAAAGGAGAGATCGGATGCGTATGATTTTTAAACGTAATTGTTTTTTTCGTTTTATAATAAAAGTTGTACAGTGTTTTTTGTGTATTCAAATGTTTCTTAATAAATGAGCTTAATAAAATCTATTTTAAGTTCCACTTTTCTTTAAGCTAGCAGACAGTACTATTCTGAAAATCTAAGTATGCAAAAACAAACGTTCTCGTTTATCGATTACGATTTGTAAATATCTTCAGTAAAGTTAACTGACATTACTGCAGTAGTATAAGAGGCTGTTCATAAATTACGCCCGCATTTTTCTTTAAATTATTCTGCCTCGGACGTTCAACGAAGCATGATCCCGTAAAACATTACGTAAGTAGAAACGAAACGAGGAATTTTGAAATGAATATAAAATGCATTTATTATAAAATTTAATGAAAAATACGGATTGTCAGACTTGTTTTAATCCCCTTTCTCCCAGTGTGGATGTCATTTATTGACAGTCCCTCAAGTTACGAGTAGAATATACTGTATTTAAATACATTTACGGCAGTTATACTTTTCGATCGTTCTACTTGAGCACATTTGTAAAGAAAACGATTAAAATACTCGAATCACTAGTGACAAACGTGAATAATCTTTGTTTAAATGTAATGTTAAATAATTACGGTAAGTAGTATGAAATTTTGCGTAAAAATCGCATGAACACTGTTCTTATTCCATGCGTAGATCTAAGCTAATCTGCGTGCTTTTTTTCGTAAAAATCGTTTTTAATGTTAATAATACACTACATTTTATAAAGAAACAGCTTGCAGTAGTGTATTCAGCGAGTACTACGTTCGCACTATAGAGGGCGAATGTAGTTTTCCTCGACGCCCGCTCCGCTGCTATATAAAGCTTGTCAATGGCAGCTGTTTCAATTTACAGTTGATTTCCTCGGTCTGAGATGGCTGATACTGCGGAAGTAAGCGAATCCCCTAAAGTAACCAAGCCTCCTGCAAAACCCAAGAACTTAAAATCGCATGGAAAACAAACAAAAATTAAATCTGCACCATCACACCCTAAGATATCTGTCATGGTAGAGATTGCAATTAGTAATCTGAAAGAGAGACATGGATCATCTCTTCCAGCTATCAAAAAATATATTGCTGCCAATTTCAAAGTTGACATGATCCGTTTGACTCCTTTTATCAAAAAATATTTGAAAACTTCTGTAGCTAATGGTTCTTTAGTACAAACAAAAGGCAAAGGTGCATCAGGTTCTTTCAAGTTGAAAATGGACAAATCTGGGAACTCTAAAACTGATAAGAGTGCTAAAAAAGATTCAGTTAAGAAAACTGTAACTTCAAAAGTTACCAAAGCTAAAAAAGTGGTTGAAACTAAGAAAAGGAAGTCTAAAACTGTCAATAAAGAAAAGAACAACAAGACTGTAAAACCTCCAAAGAAACCTAAAAGTAAATCTATTGCTAAGCCAAAGAAAAATACAAAAACTTCAACAAAAAAGACTCCCATCAAGAAGATAAAAAAATAATTTGTTTGGTAAAACTGACAAACGGCTCTTTTCAGAGCCAAAATTTTTGGTAAAGACAAGTCAAATTGTATTTTACCACTAATATATATAGATTGACTGACATACTTTTTATCATTTTTTACATTCTTCAATCTGTTAATCTTTTGTAAGAGCTTTAGACATGCACAAAATTTTTGTTGCTTTTTGAGTATATGCCTTCAAACATAACTTTTAGGAATACATTAAAATAATTCTTTATAGTTTGGTTAAAAATACTTGAAATCTAAAAATAACAGTTACTACATAAAGATACCCTTTTTAAAACACAATATCTTAATGTTTTACAAAAAAATTTTGTAGAAAATAGAAATAAAACAATCAAAATGACTGGACAGCCTTATATCAAAGGTGCCTTCAATGTAATTAATAAAATAACTTATTTTACTTCTATTATCAAGTAAAAAAACAAAACTAGCTTGATGATTGAAACTATTACAGAATTTATTTCCAAATTGATGATGATAATCTTTATAAATATTGCTTCTCACTTATATTCAAAAATGTAAACTTAAATTTACCAATTGTTTGTAGTTTTTTTTCATATTTAAAAACTTCAAGAAATTATATATTTTTTTAAAGGCAACTTAAACAATTAAACCTAAATTCAAAAGCCTGTTATAATCCACTTAATTTTAGTTATTGTCCCTATGAAATAATTGATCTAAAAGTCTACTTTTAGATATACAGTATATACTTACACTTGGCTTTAGAAAAAGTTCTTAATTTTATGNGAACCGTGTTAGAGTGAACCCGAGCTATAAAAGCACCGTGTTATAGGGGGATGTTCCCAATTCTCGAACCGTGTTAGATTGAATCCGTGCTATAGAAGTGCCGTGTTATACGGGGTTACCTGTACTTGCCCTTGTTAAGTACACATAACAGCTAGAAAAAATAAAAGGAAATGGATGTGTAATACTTAAAACAGTTTGTTTTAAACTAATTAATTTCGTCGATTTGGTTTTATATGCAGTAACAGTGATACTTTGAGGAAACAAAAACTAAACACAAACAAAATCACATTTTTAAGTTTCTGCTGTCACATTCTGTTTTCAGTAAATGAGCAGTTCAGCCATTATACTTCTGAAGTTACTGCTATTTCTGCTCTAACCTATCGCATTACGTCAATGTGTTTTACTTCAAATTCAAATGCGAATATTTAATTTGGCAAGTTGCTTATTAAAACGTATTATAAAACCAGTTATATTTTCAATAAACAAATTTTATAAGAGCTGTAAACATCATTTATAAATAACTTTACAAGCTGAAGACTATTACTAGAATGTACGCAATTACCACAATTTTAACAATTTCAAAATTTCAATCATTAGGAACAGCTCTCCAGTTCTTAATTTTCAAATCTTGAGTGAACAGAGAATAATAAGAATCATCTTTTCAAAAGTAATGAAAATCGTTTACTGAATTCATTCAATTTGTAATTGTGCACTATTTTCTGGAATATTTTTATACATATTTCCTCAAGAAAACACAGTTTTCATAAATAATAATTGAGTAATCAATCACAATAATTCTATACAATGTATTGATAAACATTATTCTAGTTGCCATTTTTCACTTTTCTCTTCTGCATCATTTGTAAATACATCAAGACGTATGTGAAGATTCCACTAGCAATCTAGAAAATATTATAAAACTCTATTATATTTTAAATTTATTTTCACAAACTTTTATATCTATTCATAGGTTTTATTAGGACATTTCAAAACTTCAATATTTAATTAGAGTGAAATTCTAAAATAGCATAAACAGTAAGTTATATAAAGAAGCACAATATGTGAACTTATAAAAGTGAAAATAATTATAGTTTGATATTAGATACATTAAATTAATATTCTTAAAAACCAGTTAAATTCTTAAAATCTAAAGCTAGTTCTTTTATCTTCAATATTGTTTAAAGCATTCTGAAATGTTTAAATTATGCATTTTTGAACCTGAAGCTAGAAGACAAATATACCTATATGTAAACATTGATTCAAATAAGACAGAGTTAAGATTTTATCAACAAGAATAAGTAATTTAATTTAAAATGTTGGAAATATATAAATAAAAAATTTATTTGATGTTATTTTTTATTTTAATAATAAAATTTTATTTATTATATTAAAAAATATCAAATTTGAAATACTGTATAAAATAATTTTGAATATTTAAATTTTAGAAATTTGCAAACAAATTGTAAACAATGTACAACTTCTGGTTTGTCTACTATTATTTTTTCAAAAATTTGCATTATATCTATATAACTTTTTACATGCAAGGTTGTAAGAATGGATCTGACCATAGTTGGATCAATTTTTACTGTCAACATTACAAATACAATCCTAATTTCAAATCATGCAACACTATCAGACCAAAACAATAGACTTTTCCATAAGGGGAAAAGATTATCTGCCAAACAACTAATGGAGTAAATCCGGCTACTTTACTGCTATTTAAATTAAATTCTAAATAATTTGGTTGTTGTTTGGCATATTACTAAAATATTGGGCTTTGGGATTTTTATATATGAAAAGATTATCTCTAATGTATTGCTTTCTCCCTCCCCAGAACACACATGCCTTTATCCAGGGAGATTTAGAAATTAGAAAAGTTGAAATAACTAGATATGAATTGAAAATGAAATCTTTATAAAGAAACTAGGAGACTATGCCCATAATCAAGGCAACCACTCTTCATTTTTGGCCAAACCATTTTTTTCCCTTCAGCCCTGATATGTTTTGTATGAATCTAATAATTGTCTTCAGTTATAAAATATCAGTTTAATTTTATTATATAATGAGCAATTGCTTACCAAAAAAAGTAAGGTACTAAAAGTTTTATTTTTTTGCATAAATGTAACAAATAGATATTCCTAGATTTCCTCACTTGACTGATATTATGCAATGGTATTATGACTATATCAATGAAAGTAAGAAACAAATTCTAAATGAAGAGAATTTTAGTAAATGATATTCAAATTCTTTTAAGACTATATTCAAAATCAAAAATCAAGAGGTAGAAGTTAAGCATTTACTATTTATTTAATGTTATGAACCCTTCTACCTCTAACTCTTAACCCTTGGTTGTGAATATGGATTTTAAGCAAATAGCTTTAATTCTCATATTTTTTTTATGTAAACGAAACTCCACAAATCCTTATTAACAATATAGACAAGTTTTTAAAGCATTTTTTTTCTTATCTCTTTGAATAAGATTATCTAGGTCAAATGTCATTTTTGTTAATAGGCAAGGTCAATGTTTAGAAAATAAAAATATCAATCTCACTCAATGTCAATATTTATATTTATTATTACAGAATGTCTTTTTTTATATTAGTACTTATATTATCTGCATCCAGACTAGACATCATATTCCTTGACAATGAAAACAAAATTTTTATATACAGTATACAGGAATATAAGTTTTTATAATTTTATTAAGAGGGCAAAACAGAATTGTGGAATTGTACTGTAAACATTAATAGTAAATAACATGAAATTGCTTTCATTTATAACACTTTTCTACTATCACAGTATATTTCTAAACAAAATGCAATTAAGAAAGTTAGGAATTCCTACCTATGCTATTATCTGTTCTGTTTATTATTAAAATAAAATTGTTTTAANTTTATCTGCTTAAAATTCCACTAAATAACAATAAAGATAATGAAATAATGTAACTTCAATTATGTTCGATAAATAATTAATTAATTAGTAATGTATTATCTCAGCCTCGTTTGTTTAGACATTATCTTAATGGGAAAACATTTAAAATATACCTTGAATGTAAGATAAAAATTTTAATGATTATAGCTTATTTTGAAAGGTTTCCAGTATTATACTCCAATGCAATAAGATTATAGCGTGCATTAACTATTAGGAATTTCAACATTCCCTTTGTTTACATTAATAAAATTAAATGGGAACATAGTCTTAAGGTTTGTGTTCAGAATTTTATAGAGCCAATCAATGGCTCGTCCACTGATTGGATCTATATATTTAAACTTTTACAGTCATAGCCGAAACTTTCGAAACATACAATGAAATATTATTAGATTGCTATTTGAAAAACTTCTAGATCTATAAAATCTAGTAAACTATATAGAAACGTCCGGTTCAAACCGGAAATTACGTTATTTCAATTCAAATATTTTCCTCTGAAACGAGTGAGATATATGAGTGACACGACTTTATTGTTAAAGGAAAAGTATGATGTACAGGGGAACGCCACTACTAATTTGAGGGCTAGAGTATATATTTTAAATTAAATAAATTAAAAATATGGTTAAAAATTGCAGCACAGCATTGTAGTTGATCATGAGATTGAGCCTGGCCAAATATCCGGCTGCATAGAAGTTTTTGAATTTCATTTGCTATCTAACACATAAACAGATGCCAAGTTTCCTTATAATTCTTTCAATCTTTATAATCCGAAACTTGCCAGATAAACTACATGTTTCGTTGCCATATTTCTTTAATTCAATTTAAAATTGTATAACAAATACAGTATTACAAATGTTAATGTTTAATGTTCACTCATTTATGATTTATTTCAATATATACAACTCATATATTATATTGATGTAAATTTCTGTGGATTCACAACAGTGACAAATATTTTGGTAACATCAATAAAACAGAAAAACCTTTTGCAATACCCACATTAATATATTCCTCCTAAGTGACCATTGAAAACACCAAAATATATGCAGATTAGAAAATATACTTTGAAAGAATTTATTGGGCAACAATTTAAAAAATTACAGACCTGTAAATTCCCACTGTTGTCCGTGCGCTATTCATATGTTCCCTAATTTCCAGAACGGAGTTAAATAGATAAGAGTCGAGACAAAGTATAGAAAGCTTAGCGGCAGAAGACTTCTTTCTTTCTTTCTGCTGCAAACCGAAAGTAACGTTATTTCAATTCAAATAGTTTCTCCTGTAAGGAGTTATATAAAAATGGCATGACTGTGTTGCTAACAACAAAAGTACAGTGATGTANATTATACATTCAATTAATTCAATCATATTATGTTTAAATGAATTATGATTTTAAAGTTTTAATTTTTATAATTGAGAACAATAAATCGAATTAAGATTTGTTTTTCAATTTTATTTTTGATTTTATGTATTTATGATATTATTTAATGATTAGTTGATCTGTAAATTGTATATAAAAAATAAATTTTTGATAAAATCACTTGTAGAACAGAAATAATAATTAAATTTTACATCTTAAGGCTTTTTTTCAATATTAATAATTATGATAAATCATAAAAATGTTATTGTTAGTTGTTCATTTCATGTTAATTTGAATTAAATATTTTGATCATATGTTAAGAATGTAATAAAAATATAAAATCTCATAAAGAAGAACCAGTGTAAAAATGAAAATTTATTGAGAATTTTTATTATCAAACACTTACAAAACTGAATGTTCTAATCTCATAAACGATGCTAAAATTCTAGAACAATTATATGTCTATCAATTAGCTTATCCCCTTTTTTATTTAATTAATTCTTAATTACTGTAAAATTCCAGTTATTTTACAAGTCTATTAGTGTGATAACCCCTAAAATAACTGGAATTCTACAGTAATTAAGAATTAATTCTAGAACAATACTTCACAGCACTTGAAACAATTCAGGTTATTTTAAATTAGCTTATAATATGGGAAAAAAGTTAGTTTATTATTAAAAAGTTATTAGATTTCTAGTATAATAATAAAACTTTATTTTTGTATGATTATGATAAAAAACAAATCCAAATTTCTTTTTTTATGCTTTATAACTGTTTAAAATAACTTAACATTTAAAATAATTATAAATCTAGTAAACATTTTCAACATAACTATGATAATTGAAATTTATAAAAGTGTAAAATCAAACCTATTTCTTTTGAAACAACTTATATATTAATTACAATATAAAAGTATAGTGTAACACTGTATAAATAGTAAATAAAAATAAATGAAGTTTTATTGAACATAAAAATTTCTACTGAAAAATTGTTTTGTGTATACAAAAATAAATTTTTAAAAAGTAACTGATCTTATATTTATATAACACAAAATTAGTCTTTATCTATATTACATTTTAATTTTCAAAAAAAATTCTTGTTAACAAAAATTTTATATGTTGAAATAAGCATTTTCACTTGGTAGTATGTACTGTACAGGAGTAATATGGAAATTATATTAAAAATCTAATTTAGATGCTGCATCCAAGAATATCATTACTGAAAAATATAAGAAAACCTACATAAATCAATGATAGTAATGAAATGTACCAAGATAATAAGTTACTAAAAAATGAATATGTTTGTTACTAAGATTATAATAATACTTTCACACTAGTAATTCCTTTACAACCAAAAAGTACTTGGCATTACTCTCTCTTAAATCAATTATAATTCTTGTTTTAATTTTATTCATATTACGTGCTCTTGACACGACATATACAGTACAGTATATATGTATATATATCGTATATAAATATATTAAAAAATGGTAATAACAACAAAAATATATTATTTGATAGTTTCCACTTTTAGGCTTAACGTTTAACTTAAAATTTACTGTTTCACTTTATTTAAAAATAAGTATATGAAGTACTTTACATAAAAAAAAATATACAAAAAGATAAATAAATCTATCACTGATAATAGATTTTATGTGTTAAAAGTGTTATACAAAGTAATATTACGTTAAAGTTATTACGATTTTACCATGACTAAATCCTCACACAAAAAATGAAAAACAATAATAATTTTAAAATTTTACGTTTATCAAAAGAATGATATTTTTCCATTATCAAATAAGAAATACAGTATATCAGAAAGAATATTTTACATTAATTTAAATACCTTTGAAAAATAAATCTATTTTAAATATACTGTAACTTTTTAAATATGTTTATCGATTTAAAACTCTTGATCTATGAATTATACTATATTAACTTGATTACATTTCGTTTTCTTTCTTTAAAGTTTTAACAAATTATGTATTATATAACTTAAAAGTTACGAAGTCATCGATTGTATCGCTAACAAAGGACGAACACAAGAATGTTCTGACGTGTTGATATACGGAGTAACACTGTGTATATCGACATTATTTAGTATCAGAAACCTATTCGTAGATAATTAATATCGAATATATAATTTAAGAAACATAATTTTTGGGATGCAATTTGAAAAAAATGTAGACCTATAAATTCATACTGTCATTCGACTGTCCGTCTTTCCTTAATTTCGAGAAAGGAATCAGATAGATGAAATCCGAGACTAGATATGGAAACCTCGGAGGTAGGAGGTCCCGATTAACTATATATAAACTTCTGATACAAACTGGAAATCACGTTATTTCAATTTAAATGTTTACCCTTGAAAGTAGTTAATTAATAGATTATCGGCACGATTCTATTGTTAAAGGAAAAAATGATGCACAGAGGCAAGAGATTAGTAATAATTTGAGGTGAAGAGCATATATTTTAAACGAAATAAATTAAGAATATAATATATAAAAAAAATTGCAGCCCGGCATTGTGGCGATGTCATAATAAATAATCTCTCGTAATATTATATTATTCTAGATATTAGCCAATGCGAAATATTTGTTATAACTTACTTGTTAAACAAAAAATAAGACACTGATATTTGTCTCAGAATAAATTCACTAAAAATAATGTATGTTAATATTTTTAATCTGTTTATTTCTTACTATCCAAGCTATAATGTTTCACAAAGTTTTTATTATATAATCTTAATTCAGTGATTTTCAACCGGTGTGCCGCAAAATTTTCCGAAGGTTATTTTAAATAAATTATTTTCGAAAGAAACCCAAAGAACAATAAGCGTGTGTCAAAATTAAAACCTCTTTAAATTGATGTTTTGATTTTATATATATATATATATATTTTAACTTAGAAATAGCGGGACATTGAGCACGCTTATAAAAGCAATTATCATGCCACTTTTAAATGTATATTAGGACTTAACTTTAATTACTTTTCTTATGTAAATGAAAATTATTAATTTAAATCATTATTGTTGTAACCTGCTACTATTTCAAGAAATAACAATACTGTTTTATTTAATTCACAAAAAATATAGACAAAAAGAATTAGGCTAAGTAACAAGTAATATGGCAATAAAATGTTTATAAACACAGCTTTAATTCACGTAATTTTTTCCGCGTAAATTATAAGTTCTAGTATGCGATGAGAAAAAAATAGGTTGAACAACACTTTTAATTACTAAAGAACATACAAAACTAAGATTCTATATGTTATTTAGCGAAACAAATCTATTGATGTTTAATATCTTTAAAATTTAATTTCTTATTTACTGAAATATCAGTTCACAATTCGAATAAAAATTTTTTTCTGGAGAATGAATACAAAATTTCATATTGTATAAACAAATTCTTAGAAATTTTCACGTTATTGTTAATAAGTCATCTTTCTTCAATATTTAATTATATAAATCATAAAAATTTTAATGCTAATTTCTTTGAATTAAGAAATGTTATAAGAATTTCAATCATAAAACATTCATAATAATGAAATCATTAATTAATGAAAATAGATAGTTGTAATAAATTTTCATTTACAAAAAATTATCTATAATGTTTCTATTATGGACGAAATTGATTATTTTTTAAAAACACTTAAAAATAAATTATATATATATTTTATCAATTCTGAAAATACTGTATATGTTTAATAATATATAAAATGATTTATAATAGCTTTTGACAATAAATACAAAATAGTTGGATTGAGAATTTAAATTAAGACTTCTTATTGCATGAGTGAAATCCAATAAGAGAAAGGATCGTAAATTTTCAATCCTGATTCCTATTTGTTCTTCATTAACCAATGAGCGCGAGCGTATTCTATCCTATCCAATCAGGTGAGTTTGACTAGTTCAGTTCAATCCACCCAATTTTGTATAAATAGTCACAAAACCGGCTACGTTGTATCTGTTATCCTTCAGAAAGTTTTGTGTACTGTACGTCATGCCACCAACTCCTAGTGGAAAAGCCGTAAAGAAAGCCGGTAAGGCTCAGAAAAATGTTCGCGCTGGTGATAAGAAGAAAAAGAAGAAGAGGAGGAAGGAAAGTTTCAGCGTTTACATTTACAAAGTTTTGAAGCAAGTTCATCCAGACACAGGTGTTTCTAGTAAAGCTATGTCAATTATGAACAGCTTCGTCAATGACATTTTCGAGAGAATTGCAGCCGAAGCTTCCCGTCTTGCTCATTATAATAAACGTTCAACCATCACTAGTCGGGAAATCCAAACTGCCGTTCGTCTTTTGTTGCCCGGAGAATTGGCCAAGCACGCCGTTTCGGAGGGTACTAAAGCTGTAACTAAGTACACCAGTTCAAAGTAAACTTCAGATTATTAAACGGCCCTTTTCAGGGCCAAAACTTTTTGGTAAAGGGTAGCCTATCATATCAATTTTTATAAAATGTACGACATATTCTGCTTTTTCTTTTGAATTAAAACAAAGTACACAAAGTTTGCAAAAAGGTGTTTGCATTATAAACTTTTTCTCCCCCTTACTTTTTTAAGCAAAACTGGTTTCTTAAATTTTTATTGTATTATTCGTTTATAAATAAAATATACCAGCAAGGTAATATAAATGTAAATAAGAAAAAAATTAATGTGCTCGAAATGTATTTCTCACACTTGAGAAAGAACCCGCGTTGACCTTGACTGATGAACTCGGAACAATGAACTTTTTACTTAATCGTTCCGGTCATTTTTTTTTTTAAACATTATAGGACAAAGACTAAAAAGAAAACTAAATTACGTAAAGTCTTTAGTATTGAATTGTTATCGGAGAAATGTTCAAATGAGTTTTGTGTTACGCGTTTTTGACAACTTATTTGACATAACATTTTAGACAAACCATTGGAGCAAATATTGATGGCAATGAAACAAATTATTACAGTACAAGTTTATTAGGAAAATGTAAGTTTAATTCTGAAGCAATAAGAAAATATAAGTTGCTCGTAACAATATTAAAAACTGGTATTAATACTACGTATCTGCACCAATTTTTAAAAAAATGTAATTTCACCCTATTAAGACAAAAGTTCTTTTTTAGTATAATTATAGTAATGATTGTCGTTTAACCATAAAAACGATAGTTTTTATCAAGAATGATGCAAAAGATACATGCAATTTAACGAACATTGCATAATTTGAAAGAAAACAATTGTATAAGTTAAAAGATAACTAACCAATAGGAGTAGAGCTTTAATGAAAATAATCTACTCGTCCATTGGTTAAGGTCTAACCTATGAGAGCTAGGATTGAGAAATTTGAATCTGTACTGCTATTGGTTAGAAGGCATCCAATGACGAATAAGATTCGTGTACAATCCTATAAATACGATGGGTCAGCATATCTTTCCGTCATTACTCACTTAGGTTTTGAGTTCGCCGTTCTTCGTTCATAGCGTCTGAAAATGTCTGGTCGTGGTAAGGGAGGAAAAGTTAAGGGAAAGAGCAAGACCCGTTCTAGCAGAGCAGGGTTACAATTTCCAGTCGGTAGAATTCATCGTTTGTTGCGAAAAGGCAATTATGCTGAAAGAGTAGGTGCTGGTGCTCCCGTTTACCTCGCTGCCGTATTGGAGTACTTGGCTGCTGAAGTATTAGAATTGGCAGGAAATGCTGCAAGAGATAACAAGAAGACTCGTATTATTCCTCGTCATCTTCAATTGGCAGTAAGAAATGATGAAGAATTGAACAAGCTCTTATCCGGTGTAACTATCGCTCAAGGTGGTGTTCTTCCAAACATCCAGGCTGTTCTCTTACCCAAGAAGACTGAGAAGAGCTAAATCAGCTCTAGATAGTCTTAAAAAGACTCCAAACGGCCCTTTTCAGGGCCAAAAAAATTTTGATAAAGAGTAGTCTAATTGTATTTCATGTTTTAAGATGTTGCATTCTTAATATACTTTTTAACATTCCTAAATACAGTAGGCCAGGTTTTACCTAATTTTTAATTTATCCGCTATGGTCAGAAGTGTCAAGTGTTTCATGTTACTGTCTCCCATTGCTGCATGCTTTCAATATGAAATTTTGTTGGTTCATATTTTTATAATGTATTAGTTCACAAAACATTTTAAAAACCCATTTTTCTGTCATGCTGTTCTATCATACTTTTTTTTTTTTTAGTTCATGATGTTTGTAAATGAAGATTGAAAATTTTGACAAATAAACAAATATCTCAAAATTTGTGGATATTGGTTTTGATAGTGTTAAAATTAAAATTTCAGGTAGAAAAATTTTAATGTCTAGAATAATTCAAATGTCAAATTATCCTATAAATATACAAGAATTTATTTACAAAATTAGAAAACATTGGAGAAGTGAACTTACTAATTTAAAAACAAGTAGAAAATTCATAATCTAATATTAAGTGCAAAGCAAGAATTCTTTTAATAGTTTCATTTTTTATAATTACTGTATGTTACTTTTCTACCAAACTTAAATTTAACATAAAATACTTTGACTTTAGATAAAATATTAAATGCATCTTTATATTAAGTAAGTTAATTTTTAATCAGGAAGGAATTTTATCTTAGAATATTACTTTATGACAAATGGGGGAAAGTATGGCATTTTGTGGCTTTAAGGCTGCTTGTTGACAATACAAAATGGTATAAGTTTAAATTTTTGTCATGAATGTTGAGTTGTAAAAGTGTTTTTCTGTTCTTTTTTAAAGAAGGCATTCTATCTACCTAATATACAATTGATGTATATTTTAGATGGTCATGCATATTAAATATATACTTATGCAATATGCTCTACAACATCTTTTAGCATCTGAAATGAGATCTGGCCTCCCCATTACAAAGGTTTCCCACCTCTTGTTTATGATAATAAATTAATCAATAAGAATTAGACATTAATAAATTTGGATTAAATGACAGTATAACACTGTTATACTAAATTTTTAAAAATACTTGTACTCTATGGTATGTTTAAAGAATCTTTAATATTCTACACTTTTGTGGATGCCTTGAAAATGATAAATGCTACAAATTATGTTCATTTTATTTCATCTCTATTTGATGACAACTTCATAATATGTAGAATTCTAAATTTTACCAAGACTAAATATGCAAAATATTAACTCATTAAAAGTATACAGGTGAGTTCTCATTAATATATGCATTAAACACTAAATTTGCATGTTAAGTGAATTATTGTTTGTATTTCTTAGCAAATTTTATAAGTATGAATTACACAATATAGTTAATTAAAAATAAGCTAACAATTATAATATTTCTAAAAAATTTGAAAAATGTATAAACACCTAATTCAAAACTTATTTTTTTTTTTAATGATGATAAATATTTATTATAATATCTTTTTTGGCTGTCTTCATACACACTGTTTTTTATTTTGATAAAAACTATTTAAATGAAAATCAACAGAAGAAGAAGAACCAATATTGATATACAATAGGTTCTGAGAATACAAAAAATAAATTTATAATACAGGAATATACTGTATATACAAATGAATTTCACATAGCAACAAATTATCTTAAATATTTTTTAACAAAGATAACATTAATCAATTTCTATGCAGCATTAAGAATTATTTATTAAGAATTTATTGGTTTATCAGTTAAATGGTAGAAAATAAAAAATTAAGAATTTATTGGTTTATCAGTTAAATGGTATGTTATATTATTTTACATGATAATCTACAATTGAATATATCAATGAAAATGATGAATTTACAAATGAAAAGATGAAGTAGACAAATAAACTTTAAGTAATATGATGAGTTTTTCTTATACTTTCTAATACATTTTTTCACGGTCACGTATTGATGTTGATCATACATCTACATATTTATGGATTATTGAATTACTAAATATTTATAATTTTATTTTTTTAAATTATAAAGTATAGAAGTTTAATATCAAAAATATTTTTGATAATGACATATTATTTACAAAAGCTCTCAAATAATAAAATCAATATTCTATTTGTTTTTTGTTTTTTTTTGCTTATACTGTAATAATTGATTTATTTTCACAAGTAAATAAAAGGTTAACTAACTTATTTCATAGAAACTTGGAATTCTAATGATACATTATTAATAATGTTTTATTAGAATTCTAATTATATCCAATGCAACATTTTAAATTTTCTATCAAATAGATTGATATTAAATAATAATTTAGTGGAGTTTATTAGCTCTCACCTTTTAAGCCTTAATTATACATCAGTTTTATAAATTCATATAAATAAAATTATGAAAATAAAACTATGTAATTTTTTAAACTTAGAATTTTATAATATAATTCTATCTTAATGATTTTATACATTATATTTTGTAGTTAGTTTGTTAGTTTCAAAATATTGATTTTTACAAAGGAATTTATATAATCAGCAGTTTAAAAGATCAATTCTTATATTCTATTTTTATATACTGAAAGATTGTGATTTTACATAAGCCTGATTATTATGAAACGGAACTAGGCCTATCAATAGTAGTTACAGTACATTGTTTTATGACAATTTGTAAAATATCTGTACTATTTACATACAGTGGAAATTATAATTAGCTTTATTATAAATATCAGATATTATATTTTCACATGCATCTACATCTCAGTATTAAAAATATAACTAATTATGACTCTAAAAAGCATAATGGTATCTATATAGCTTACACCAAACAATAACAATTTATACTTTTTTTTATTGGTTCAAAGAGTTAAACTTAGTGTTTTAAAAATTAAGAAAATATTTTAGCAAATCAAAAATATAAATTTAAGTACAAAAGATTTCAAACTTTGATTACTGTCAACATTTGCTGTAATGTTATGAAAATCAGTACACAGAACTAACAGAAATAGATTCAAAAATGCTGCTAATATATAAAAAAAATAGCTGACTTGAAGTTAATATCTATGTACTGTATATCTTTAAACCTCATTACTAATCTTCAGATGTTTATTAAATTAAATAAACAAAATAAATTCTACATAAATACATTCTTATTTTAGGTAGCCAAATTTATCAGCTCCTAAAATAAATACTGTCAGTGTTTATGTAATATTAATATTACTAAAAACTTTGGAAGTTATTTGTAATAAATTCTAATTAATCAACATTTGAAATTTGATATACAGTAAGTATAATTAAAGTTCCAGAATTAGTATGGATTTTCATGTATAAAAACACTAAAATAATGCAAAAATTTATTAAAGAATTATATGTATATAGATTTTCTCTTCATAACTTGTAAAGCTTACTTTTAATCCTAAATTATGCTATGCTTTACATATTGTGGTAATATGATTTTTATTCAGATTTCATTATTAATATTGATCATACAAATTCAAGTAAGAANAACAAATATTTGTGTTTTTCAAATAAATTTTTGTCTGTCTCCTTTATAATAAATAAATTTATCTATTTCTAACTAGAAATTAAAAGTGTCTGTAGAAGTCATTTTTTAAAATATCCTTTTTCGTGATAAAGTTTTAATACTTATTACTATAATCTAGACATGTAAATCCACAATATACTTGTGGTCCAGAGAAACAAAAAGGTTGGACACCCCTGATTTAAGAGAATATGGATGTTATGTGTTTTTTCACCTGTAGCCTGGAATATTTCTAGTTTGTTTTTGAAATCTGTTATGGTATTTCTTTTGCCATCTTCTTGATTTGTCTACCTCGTCTGCTTTAATAGCGACCGACATTGATCTTACAACCTGATAATTTGACAGTTTGTTTGGGTTTAATAATCTGGTTTATGAAGAAAAACTTCATACTTGCAGAGTTTGTACTCGTTTGTATCCTTGCCCAATTTGCACAACCTGGCATAATGCAGTTATTGAAGCTACTTGGCATGGTTAAAAATTAAGACAGCATAAGCACAATTATTCCAGATATTACAGGTTCTGACAAGTAAAGAATTTTCAGAGTCCTATCACATATTTGTGATAGAACTCTGAAAATTCTTTACTTAGGCTATAGGCTACATATTGATTATTAACAATCTGTGACATGCCATAATAAGCAAAAATTTTAAAAACTAATAAACAGGCTTAAAATAATAAATACAAATGTATTCTGACAGTTTATGGGTTAATAATTATACTTTCTATTTGCAAAATTTCTTCAATTTTTAACACCAAATAAGAAAAAAAGTGAATTTTTAAGAAATTTGCATGATTTCCCGGGATGAGAATTTCCCAGGTTAAAAACCAGCTGGGATCCTGTTTGAGAAACCCTAATTGTGATATACCCAATAAAAATAAATCACATGGATTTCAGTCGGGGCTATAAAACAGTCACTCCACACCACCACCAGCATCTTTTTCATAATCTAATCCATTTACATGCTTCTCAAACATGCTGTAAAGGTTTTAAATACTTGCTTTGTGCAATGGAGCCTTGCACCATCTTACATAAACTAAGCATGATGATGATGATGATGTTTATGTCTAACAAACATTTTGGGATAAAATTTCTTTTCCAATAATTCAACATATGCAGCAAAAGCAACATTCTTTTTGAAGAAGAATGGTCCAATAACTCCACTAGCACTGATAGCACACCACTTAAATAATTAGAATTTTGATAATAATTCTTTACAATAAACCCATGTTGTTCTAAAGTGAGCACCACCATTTTGAAAATGAATGTTAACATTAATCAATCATCGACGCCAAAAATGTAAACATTGTGCTATGTAGTACTTTTTGAATTTTATTTCTATGTCATTCAGTTGAAAAGTTATTTGAGTTTAAAGTTTTGTGTGAAGAAACTCACCCTGTAATTGAAGACTATTATGATAAATAAATTGATATAAGCAAAAATAAGTTATACAGTGGGTAATCAGTGAAAGAACAGTTCAGACTACGAATACTTTTGCGTTTTTTATGTTCAGATAATGAACACTTCACAGAACAAACACAAGAAGAAACAACCTAAAATAATGAATACCAATTGGTCTTCCCTTGTCTTTGGACAACAATTTGAAACATTTTGGAGTACAGGAGACATTGACATTGACACTCAACCCAGTATATACTGATTGGATAGTATTCCTCCGAACTTTGAAACTCTCCCTTGTAATTCCAGCCTTTTATTTTTTTGACAAAGAATTTTTATAAGTATTCATGAATTGTTAGGTGGGCACTTGTTAAGATTGGTGTCAGTTTTTATTTTCGAAAGGTGAAAGTATAATAATAAAGGTA